TTGCGGAGTCATCGGGACATCGGGCGGTCTCTCGGTCGTTTGCAGGCTGCTGCTGGGGTACGCGGCCACGGTGGAGGACCGGCGGCTGCTCGGAGCTGGCTCGCCAATCCTGCGGCGGTTGCTGGACGCCTACGGCGGCGGCTGCTTCCCGGCCTTTTTCGCGCCGGCCCTCCACCATCTGTACATTCTGACCGCGCTCGCCCGCGGCTGCACTGGCTTTGGAGACGAGTATCGGGACGGTTGGGTTATAGCCGCGCTCAGGCCTCTGAACCACGCCGTCGAGCTGTTGCGGATCCAAGCGGAGAGGGGCGCGCTGAACGGGCAGGAGACGCGACTTTTGGCGAATGCTCGCGGTCTCGCGGAACAGCTGCTGCCCGGTGTGGAGGCGTTGCAGCCGAGCCCGGATCAATGGGCGGCAATGAGCGGGGTCGAGCGGAGCCTCATATGGGAGCGGCTCGGCGTGGACGAGGAGGGGCAGCAGATGCACCCATTGCCCTCTGGGCATAGCTTTCGAGCGGAGCAGGATTCGCTGGGCCACTACTCCCTCCCGGGATGGGAACAGAAGCGAGGGCTACCGCACTACGTCACGTTCGAGCACGCTGACGGGAAGAGTCGGACGGGGGAGGAATTCAAGTGCAATTCGGGGCAGACGGAGACCGAATGGGACGCCGCGAACGTGCCCGCGGCTGACGCGGGGAGGCGGCAAGGGGAAGAAGGCAAAGCGGCCGCACAAGAGCAGAGGCGCGATGGTGGTCTGCTGCCCCCATCGCGTCATATACGGCTTCCACGTGATGCTGAGGGGCGAAAGCCCGCGGGACGTATTCGCCGTGCTCTTCACGCGGCTCAACCGGGAGCACCTCCCCAAATTCGTCGTCTACGACAATGCCTGCGCCCTTCGCAACTACTGCATGCGCCGGGAGCCCGCCTTCTTCAGTGACGTCACCTTCGTCGTCGACAGGTGAGAGATCGTTATTCTCAATCGCAATCTTGCAAGCGCCTGTTAAAACGTGTACAGATGCATTCACTGTGCAACACATCTTGCAAGGTACGGAGCAAGTAGCTGAAGAATTGCGATTTTTTGTGCAGGTTCCATTACGCCAAGGCGGGGGCGGAAGTGCATAAATGTGGGCCCTCCAACGCGACCGACTTCTACGATGAGCTCCGCTGGGTCAACACCTCAGCGGTCGAGAGCGTCAACAGCTTCTTGAAGAGGTTTAGGACGCTGGGCTGGTACTCGGGATTAGAAAGCTTCATGATCTTCCTGCCCATTCTTCTCAGTGGGTATAACGTAGATCTCAGGCGTGTAGACGACGCCAAGCTGACGGTAGCTTTGCCAGCCAGGCTTTGGAGTGCCGCAGTCAGGAGGCTGCTGTTGCAATGATAGCAAGTGGAACGATAGCCTCGATCCAAAAACCAAAAAACCCAAAACTTTTGATAGTATGCAAATGAGTAGATGCATCTATATTTTTTTAAAAACATTTCAAATGGATGATAATTTTTGGGTTTTTTGGGTTTTGGTCAGACCCCCACCTCCGGGCCTCTTGCCACTCTCGCGTCTCGATTGTTGCATTGATGGCAGGTGGAAGGAGAGAGGAGAGGCCTCGATCCAAAAACCAAAAAACCCAAAGATTTCGATAGTATGCAAATGAGTAGATGATATGTATACTTTTTAAAAACATTTCAAATGGATGATATTTTTTGGATTTTTTGGGTTTTGGTCAGAGCTCCTCCAACCTTGCCTCTTGCCACTCTCTCGTCTCTCTCTCGGCCGTTGCCTTTCTTTCATCTAGCTCTGCGCTCGTAAGCAATCTGACGCCGATATAAGGTCTTCCTGACCCGGAACCGTTCTGCTTGGGTACCTTGGGATGCTTCTCATCCGTAGTAATATTATGACCCTTTAGGGCCTTCGTAATTGCGTGCGTGGTCATTCTAGGGTCGTCACACGATGACATTTTATAGGCAGAACAGAAATCCCCCTGTACGATTACCTCGTTTGCTTTGACAAGGCAGTACTGTTCGAGGAAGGTGGATAGCGTATCATTCTCCTTCAGGTACTCGTTGCAAGCCTTTGTAAAGACTTGGGGTCTGGGCCAGAGCGCCTTTCGAATGTCACCTTTGGCTGTTCGTATCTTGTACCAGTCCCGTGCGCCCTCGAATGCGACTCGGATGACGTCCTCGATGCCTTCTTTCGATTCGAGATACATCTTCAGACCGACGTCTGCCCTTCGGTGGTGTGGAATGTTTGGGTTATACTCAGAGTCCTCCACGTATTGATTCAAGTACGGCTCTAGAACGATCCTCCGGAGAAGGCCCGCATTCACCTCTTCCACGGGGATACGAGGCTTATTGTTCGTCAGCAGAACCAGCTTGTGGGTCGGGATGAAATTCTTCATCTTCTCGAATAACTCTCGAGCCGATATCTTCCCCCCTCCCGTCTGCTCCTTGATCGTGGCTGCGTTGATGGTCTGGCCATCGTCCAATTCGTCCGCAAGGCCGAAGCGAACGCCTTTCAATTGAGCCAGATGGCTGCTTGCAGCACTCGCAGTGTCGTCTTTCGTCTTCATGAATATGTGCTTCGAGCAGATGATTGCATACTCGCCCCAAGCTGCGAGTATGGCCTGCTTCAAAGCTCCCTTCCCGTTCCCCCCCTCGCCCCACCAGAAATTGACGATCTCCTCGTCCGTATATCCGGACATACCGTACCCCAAATAAAGAATCTTCCAGCGCACGACATCCTCGTCGTTATTCGCGATATCCAGCAGGAATTCCTTAAACTTGGATCGTGTTCCGGTAGGTTTGGCATGGTATTCGCCTCCTGCGACGAGGCTGCAGAGGTGCGACGGGTGCGGCTTCATGAGTTCGCCCGTGGGGATGTATCCGACACCGTTTTGAAAATTCACGAGCAATGGATTCTCGTTCATGTGCGACGACAGATCGGAGACGTAGAGGTCCGTTACGACGTAGTGAAGGCACTTCTTGACAATTGTCGGATCCTGCACGTTGAATCTAATCTCCGGGAGTATATTCCCTGCGAGCTGCTTGCATTCGTCCCTGAGGAGCTTGTTTTTTGGATCTTGCACGTGTTTTTGCAATGTCGCTTGATCGAGATCCTTGAGACCTGGATTCGATTCGCACAGCTTGTCAGCAAAGAGCTTCTTGAAAAGTACCACAAATTCCATCCCGTACCAGCTCAAGAGGGCACCCATCTGAGCCGCAAAGACGCTCAAGACCTTATTACATGTGTCCTCCACCCAACCGCGGCCATCCCAGTAGAAAAAGGTCTTCCTATCTCCCGTATTCAATATGCGGCCTTCGATCTTGTAGATGTGGCTGAAGATCTTGGCCAGACCTGCAAAAGGCTCTCCATTTCCGTCCCTGGCGACTTCGGCAACAAAGGCGAGAAATTGGCTCTTACCTTGTTCCCGGTACTTCCTAAAGAGGTTCATCTGATCCTGGGGGGAGACCGCTTCGTTGGTAGCGTCTTGGAGCCCAGCCTCTAGGGTCAGCTCGCCCAGCTTTCTTACCGGCTCGTGGGAACAAAGATCACCATGGCAGCGGTAGAATACGTCGCGCCCGCGCTTCAGGAGGTTGAAATTATTACTGCCGGAGTGTTCGCGTCCGAAGAAGCACGTCCTGGGCCCGGTTGTGCGGAAGCAGTAAAATGTACCATATAGACCGTGGGGGAGCGAGCTGCCGTACGTGCTCGACGAATCGTTCGCCTTCTCCTTTAACAGCTTCTGGAGCTCTCGCACGAGCGAGCCATCTTGCAAAAATGGCACAGGCTTCGCACCCGCCGCAACCAACTCGACCGGCCTGGTTGGCTGGACCGGCTCATCTTCTGATGCTAGATTCTGGTCAACTTCGCCACAGCCGTCGACAGCGGGGCCCGGTGGGGCACTGTCCGGGACGGCGATCGAAGGGGCGGCACCAGTTGAGCGGCCTCGGTTGATAGTATCGACGAGCCACGCAGGCATAGCATGTGGAATTCCGTCGCCCTCAGGTGCCCAAGAGTAGCCGCAAGATTTACCGTGCTTACCCAGATACCGAGCAGGAGGTGCGTAAAGGAGACCT